TTTGGACGATTTTTGACCCCCCCCCCCTCGTCACACGGCGTCACAAAAAGTCAGACCCCCCTCAAATATGACGTCATAAAGCTGTACCCCCCCTCCCATTTTTTTTATTAATTAGAACGTGTTGTCTATATTTATTTAAAGTTGCGTATTTTGATGTGACGTCATATTTCTCGACCCCCCCCCCCCTCGGCACACATCGTCACAAATGTCTGACCCCTCCTCCCCTAGGTGCGTGACGTCATTTATGGACGACCTCTAAGGCTGCTTTGCATTTCCATATAAGCCACTTCACTGGGCTATCATTTGTGACCAAGTCGCTTCTGAAAAAAAGCTACATAGCTCAGTGGGCCTTGCCTGGTAAAATAAAATAAAGATTCTAGTTTAGAAGTTTAGTTTCTATATGCTTGCGGATCGTGCACCCCATTGGATTGGCACGGTTGGTTACTTACGGTGCGAAATAAGTTCAACATACATCTGCGCCGGTTTGAAACATTCAGGCTGGCCTGCATACGATCCATTCTTTATATAATCAGACTGGATTGTGTGAGTTGCTCACAGATCCTTAAAAGATCTGGACAAGCGATGCTGCGTTGGCTGGGTCATGCAGGCCCGCATGCCAAGCCACCGCATGCCCACACAGCTTCTGTTTCGCCGGATAGAGGGGACTAAACAGGCGCTGTACGAGCTACAGAAGAGATGGAGTGATGTGGTACAGAAGAATGTAGAGTTAAGGGGACTTGCTAATGACTGCTACCAGCGGTGTCAAGATTGGCCTTTGTGAAGGAGGTTCGTGAAAAACGCCCAAGCGCTGCTGGAGGCCCTCCAACAGGAACGGAGGGCGGAGGCGCGACGCTCACAACAGCGAGTGGAGCGCGGGGCGGATAAAACGCAGCAAGTTGGCACAGTAGGGAGCACAGGTGGTGCATCTGTCGTGTCATTTCAAGGAAGGCAACCCATAACACCTGGGTCTGTCCCGTGACGTGCCAGCAGCGAGTCTTCCACACTTTACGTGACGGTTTCTAGGTGCACCTCAGAATCAGATTATTCATCCATATTGCAGGAATCCTATGAGTTATAAAGCAGTTTTTTTTTACAGATATCCAATATGGAAAGGTCAACACGTGACAACAAGAAACAATAGAAAAACACGATAGGAGTGCAAAGTATAGGATAGGTAAAATTATCACATATTTACAAAATATATACAAATACAACTCAACAATTTTTTTTAATCTTACCAGGTAAAGCCCACTGAGCTATTAGCTTATTTTTCAGACGCGACCTGGCCACAAACGATAGCTCAAGGAAGTGGCTTATCACGTGGACATTTATAGCGGCAAAATAATCTTATAAACAAACGCATGTTGATGTAAAATGTGGAGGGAAAACCCGGAGGACCCGAAGAAAAATCCACGAGACCACGGGGAGAGAGAGACCACGCAGACTCCAAATATACAACAGGCGCCAGGGTCGAGATCGAACCCACGACTTCGTGTATACCAAACGAGGTCGTTAACATCTCGCCAAATAATAATTTTAACTCTGTGGTGACGCCACTAACGGCGGCTGCTTATTGTTGGTTGCGGCGTGAATGCGGCTCACAGAAGCGGCCTAAGAGCACCGTGGATTCCCATCGCCCTGCACTGATCTCCGCCGCTTGCCCCCCCCTCCACCCTCCAGAGTCCCACAGGCACGTGATGGGATCGTTATTAATAGGCTGGGAGAGGGAGGGGGGCTATCACGGCCCCCCCCCACTCCGCCGGGTGATAATTGATCGTTACATTGATTCGCGATGGGCAGCTGCTGCCGCGGCCGCTGCTGGAAAGTGACGGCGGTAGAATTTCTCGGGAGGTCAAACAAACAAACAAAGGAACGCGGGCAGCGGTAAAGTTGAGAAGGTGTGGGGCGCTCGAGCGGAGGTGTGCACGCTGCCGCATTGGGAACTGCGCCGGGGAGGGTTGGGGAACTCGTGGGCATAGAGGAAGCGCGCCGATTCGAGTCTTACACGCATTGTTTGGAAATTGCTACGACTGTTGCGTTGGCGGTCGTGCGCACGCACAAAATAACTCAACACCCGACACGTTCCTCGTGAGTAACACTGCGTGGCCTTAAAATAGGCGGCGTGAAGGGCACATATGGAAAGGCAAGAGAGGTAGAGGCCAACTCTGCGAAGAAGGGCCATTGCCCAAAACGTCGCCTCAACATTATATATTCCATTTTGAGGCCACGGTGTCATCGACGAGTGTGTTGGGTTTGTTCGGCATCGGCTCAAGGGGCGTTAAAGGGGTTGGGCAGGAAGCTTTGTGGCTAGAGAGGACGCGATGAGCGATGGACAAAGACTTCTTCGTCTGGCTGATATAGAGCAGCCATTTAGATGTTAAATTCGCTTGGTCAGCCACTGGATTGGTTGGTTAACCACGTGATTGGTTGGTTAGCCATTTAATTGGTTAGCCACTGGATTGGTTGGTTAACCACGGGATTGGTTGGTTAGCCATTGAATTGATTAGCCACTGGATTGGTTGGTTAACCACGGGATTGGTTGGTTAACCATTGAATTGGTTAGCCACTGGATTGGTTGGTTAACCACGGGATTGGTTGGTTAGCCATTAAATTGGTTAGCCACTGGATTGGTTGGTTAACCACGGGATTGGTTGGTTAGCCATCGAATTGGTCAGCCACTGGATTTGTTGGTTAACCACGGGATTGGTTGGTTAGACATTGAATTGGTCAGCCACTGGATTGGTTGGTTAACCACGGGATTGGTTGGTTAGCCATTGAATTGGTTAGCCACTGGATTGGTTGGTTAACCACGGGATTGGTTGGTTAGCCATTGAATTGGTTAGCCACTGGATTGGTTGGTTAACCACGGGATTGGTTGGTTAACCATTGAATTGGTTAGCCACTGGATTGGTTGGTTAACCACGGGATTGGTTGGTTAGCCATTGAATTGGTTAGCCACTGGATTGGTTGGTTAACCACGGGATTGGTTGGTTAACCATTGAATTGGTTAGCCACTGGATTGGTTGGTTAACCACGGGATTGGTTGGTTAGCCATTGAATTGGTTAGCCACTGGATTGGTTGGTTAACCACGTGATTGGTTGGTTAGCCATTCCATTCTTTGGCCAGCCACTGGATTGGGTCATCCGGCCGTGCCTCCTGCCAACATGCTTGTTTTTTTCTGGGGCAGCCGAGCGAGCGCGTTTGCCATCGCTGTTCCATTATCCGGTCGGGATTATCACGTTCGAGGGTTCCCTTGTCGTCCAATCTTCCCTGGCCCGTGCGGATCCGGTGTGGCGAGGTCCCGTCGCCGCCGTGGGAGGTTGAATTCGGGTTTATTTTCCGTGCGCGGTTGGATGGATTTCCACAGCGCGTTCCCCAATGCTGCATCGAAGGGCCGAGACCGGCCTCGCGTTGACTTCGGGGCGGAGACTGCTGACGGATTGGATGCCGAAGAGTAAAACGCGCCCGAGAAGGACCACCACCGCGGATATTGGTTACAACCAGATTAGCTCACGTGTGTGTGTTTGTCTTTGTATGTACGTGGATATATCCAGAGCTTTCGTTTCTCATGGAATATTTCCCCATCACCCCCCCCAGGTCACAGGACGCATGCGCTGCCCTCCCGCCCCCCAACCTCCGCCAACAATTTGCCCCGGGGTCTTAAACAGAAGAGGGCCTCGCAGATGGACCTTGTTGTCGTCACTCATGGATCCGGGGGGGGGGGGGGGCACGTGGCATACCACCCCCACACCCGCCTGGGAAATGAGCCCCGGGCCACCCAGATACGTCTGTGTGGCTCTGAGTATTGATACACAAAAACAAAGGTTCCCCGGGAGAGTATAGACTTAAGAAACTGTTGGGCCAAGTGCTGTTCGCGAGGACGTATGAAGGCCGGCATAGCACACGAGGGGGTGAGTGGCCAACACCACGCCTGGTCGCCTCTGTCTCCCGAGGGGCGGCGTTTACACATCGCACCTATTTGTGGCTGAGTGGACATAGGGCAGGCTTAGGACCCTTTCAGAAAATCGTCAATGGTGTTGACCGTGAGCGGGAATCGAACTCGGATCGTCGGGGTTTCGGAGCTCGCTGACCTCTGCGCCACCGCTCCCCGCGCATCGATACACACATACACACACCGCCCTCGACTCCACGTATTTTATTTATCCAATCCAGCATTGCAGATCAACAACATCACCACAGAGCCGCGGTGCTGCGAATGCGTGGGATCGTCCCTACAGACGCGTCATCACGCCTGCACGTGGCTCGCATCTCATTGCGCACGCTGTGTGCGCGTACGCGCGATTGCTTTGTGCGCGGATTGGTGGCGCAGTTGTTAGCGCACCGCGCTACGAACACAACGACCTCTCACTCACGACCAATAACAGTGGCCTTCCATGAGTACCTGCTGCGGGATGTAAACATCAGCACTGGAGAGACAAAGGCGGCCGAGCGTGTTGTTGGCCACCCACCCCCTCGTGTGCCGCCCCGGCCTTCATAGGTGCTCGCCAACAGCACTTGCCCCAACAGTTTGTCAAGGCTACACGGGGGATCTTTGTCTTTGTTCGTATTCGGTGTGTTCTGGCGTGGGTGCAGAGGGCGCTGTGTTGGAGGGAGATTGGTGAATTCACGAGCGAACGAGCGGAGAGGGAGGAGAGAGATCGACACAGGGGAGAGCTGAAAGAGGGGGAGTGAGCGGCGAGGGAGAGCCAGGAGAGAGAGAGGGGGGGGTAGAGGGAGGAGGGGTGCTGATAGAGGCAGGAGAGGGGGGAGAGTTGGAGAGAGCCAAAAGAGAGAGAGTCGAGAAAAAGGGGTGGGGGGGGAGAATAGAGAGGCTAGTGGGAGGAGAGAGCGAATGAGATGGGGGGGGGTGTGTGGAGAGAGGCGAGAGAACGGAGAGGAGGGGGTGAGAGGGAGAGAGAGAGGGGGAGAGAGAGAGGGGGAGAGAGTGTGGAAAACGTGGGGGAAGAGAGAGAAAGAGAGCCGGTGAGGCATGATAGAGCGAGAAGAGGGGGGTGAGTGAGAGAAAATAAGAGGAGAGGGAGGAGAGAGGGGGAGAGATAGCTCATTGATTATGCGTGGTTTTTCTTTGCTGTTGCTGCGTTCTCTTAAAGGTTGCGTCCGCATTTGAGAGAGAGGCTTGGAGTGAGGCGAGAGAGCGAATAGGGGTGAGCGAGAGAAGAGAGAGGGGGAACAGAGCGCACTGATTGTGCGTGCATTCTCTCCAGCTGTATACAACTCTTACCGCCGTCGGAGAGAGAGCGAGAAGGGAGAGAGAGAGATCTTGCGACAAAAGGGGAGCTGGGGTAGGGAGAGTGTGGGGGAGAGTGGCGCGCGTGCTATCACAGTTCGCTGCGCCTGTTTGCGCAGAGCAAGCGGATTGCAGACACACGTGGGTCACGCGGGAGAGATACAGACTCTGCAGATCGACTCAGACGGAGGTATCGACGGGAGGGAGGCAGAGAGCTACGGAGATCACGCTGAGCGGATGAACGACAAAGTCGGGCGGGCACACACGCAGACGGACAGACATACGCACTGAGACACACGTACACCGCACGCAGACCAGACGGACACGCAGGCACAAACACGGAGTGAGCCACACACGGAGGCTCAAAAGAGGGAGAGGGAGATACAGGCGGAGGCAGAGGGACTCACAAACGGAGACAACCCCCCCAAAGCGGGACACAGGGAGACGGAGACGTAGAGACGCACAAAGGAACACACGCACGCACGCGCACGCACACACGCGCGCGCGCGCGGGGTCGCATAGAGACGAATACACGAGAGAGGAAGCTCACACGAGGAGACTCGACAAAGGAAGGCAACGCACAGACGCAGCGAGGGGGTGACGGAGGAAGATCGAGGGACACCGAGAGGAAGGCACAAACGCACGCATACGGAGACACGCGGAGGAGCGATTTCCATACAATGACGGACATGGAATGATGAGAGACTGCGAGCACAGATCGCGTGTATCAAATCCGCACTGTGAGCACCGCATTTCGGACAGCACCAGCGCCATGGCGTCCAGTCAGCAGCTTCACCAGCACTACCACCAGCAGCAGCAGGGAGGAGACGTGGGTGCTGTGGAGGTGGACATCCATTATGAGTCCCGCAAGCGGCCTCTGGAAGACGCGACGGATCAAGGGGTGAATAGCAAGAGGATTCACACCGGTGAGGTGTTCAGCTGCTGGGCTGGCTTCCCATTACATGGCATCATCATAATCATCAACAACAACAACATCATCTTCAACATCAGCAACAGCATTGTCATCAACGTCGCCATGAACGTTGTCGTTATCAACGGCACCATTGTCATACTCAACATCGTCAACATTTCCATTATCATCATGAAACGCATCGTCGTTATCGACATTGCCATTATTAACATTATCATCAAATACATTATCAACATCATCATTATTGTCATTATCAACATCATCAGCTAAATCATCATCAACACTGCCACTATCAACACCATAAACGTTGCCATTTTTTATTACTTATCCGTCGAAACGACGGGGGAATCCAGACATTGTGATCACCATCATCATTGTCATCATTTATGAACAGCATCGACATGATCATCATGAACATTGTCATCATCACATTATCATCAACACCATCATCGTCAACAGCATTAACATTGTCATCAACGCCTGTTCTAAACATCATAATCAAAATCATTAATATTGTCATCATCATCATCAATGTCATCATGAACATTATCATAAACATCATCAGCATCATCATATGTGTCGTTGCCTTCAACCAGGATGATGATCGCAATAAAACGAGGCCGAGCGCGTCGGACCGTGGGCAGCTAAGCAGTGATTTTTTTTTAGCCTGGTCAGTACACGGATGGGTTGAGCACCAACCAGGTTTGCCAGGTGGTGTAGGCGTGGGACTGCGAGGTGTGGCCGGGAGATGGCGGTGCTGAGGGCTGCCTCCTTGGTGGACAGCGGCGTGGTGCTCTGACGAATGGAACGAGCGGGGGGGGGGGAACCCGGGGGGGGGCTCAGGTGGGGGGGCACAGGTGGGGGGGGGGCCCAGATGGTGGACCCAGGTGGGGGGGGCCCAGGTGGGGGGGGGGGGGGGCTCAGGTGGGGACGCAGGTGGGGGGGGCACAGGTGGGGGGGGACCCAGGTTTGGGGTGGTGGGGGGACCCAGGTGGGGGTGGGGGGCGACCCAGGTGGGGGGGGCCCAGGGGGGGGCGGACCCAGGTGGGGGGGAGGGGGTCACAGGTGGGGGGGGGTGCATCATCCCAGTGTGGCAGGACCCTTCCTCAGCGAGTCTTGAGACTCGCTGAGGAAGGGACTCGCTGAGGTTTTCCTGGCTAGATAATTGGAACCATCGTCACCGTTATCATACAAATGCGAGCATGTGTACGCGTATCGTGTGTGTGCGTGTCTTTGTTTGATATGTGTGTGCGCGCACGTAATGCCTGTTTATATATTTGTGTTTTATGTAGATGTGAATACAGCAATGTATTTTCGGGAACTGTGGCGTGGCAGTTGGCACACCACGCCACCGGTTCTGGGCATCCCCTAGGTCGACTCAGCCTTAAATGCGTGCCTGGGGCAGTGTGTTTAAACATCAGCAGTGGGGAGACAAAGACGGCCGGGCGTGGGGTGTACTGAACACTTACCACCCTCGTGTGGCGTGTCGGGCATAATATATGCTCGCTAACAGCACTTGCCCCGACAGTCAGTTAAAGGCTAGAAGGGATATGTTTCGCCTTGTTATACTGTAATGTATATATATGTTGTGTGTACGTATGCAATTAACATGTGTACGCATGTAATTAACATGTGTGCGCGTGTGTCTCGGCAATGAATCACTTGCATTTAATGGTGATTTAGTCCGACTCCACGAACCTCTTACAGCGTTTGTAATTATTGCCCTATACGACTGACATTTAACAATATTAATCAGCAGAGGACAAATAAGGCTCTCCACAAAAAAATAATAATTCTTTATGTAACCCATCGGCACCACGGCTTTGTGGCGGGGTCAACAATTTCAGCAACATTGATTCAGTACGAGCAAAACTCTGGACCGGTTTTGACGTGAGATGTCTCTTCAGCAGGGTCAGGCTTGCTTGAATCATTACTGGTCAATTGGCAATCTATTTAGGCCGATGTCCTCTCTGTTAAGATTTGGGACCTAGTTAAAGGTATATTAGCACATCTCCCCGATCTCAGAAGCTAGGCAGACTTGAGCCTGGTTATATCTTGAATAGGAAACTTCGTAGGCTGGGGCTGCGAGGTGGCGAGGAGATGGAAGTACATAGAGCAATGGATGCCTGAATCTATCTGTGCAACTCTATTGAGTGTTACCCCCTCGTGTGTGTAATGGGGTTTTTTTCTGGGTCCTCCAGTTTTCTGAAAACACGAAATCCAGACACGCATTGACTTAACACGGAATTGACCAAATGTCCCACATGTAGGGCCCTCTCTGCCAACGAGTCTTGAGGGTCATCCTTTTCTTGGGTTTATGGTGATGATGCTGATAACGATGATGACATTGATGATGATGATGATACCGTGTACAGTGAGGGAAAAAAGTATTTGATCCCCTGCTGATTTTGTACGTTTGCCCACTGACAAAGAAATGATCAGTCTAAAATTTTAATGGTAGGTTTATTTGAACAGTGAGAGACAGAATAACAACAACAAAATCCAGAAAAACGCATGTCAAAAATGTAAATTGATTTGCATTTTAATGAGGGAAATAAGTATTTGACCCCTCCGCAAAACATGACTTAGTACTTGGTGGCAAAACCCTTGTTGGCAATCACAGAGGTCAGACGTTTCTTGTAGTTGGCCACCAGGTTTGCATACATCTCAGGAGGAATTTTGTCCCACTGCTCTTTGCAGATCTTCTCCAAGTCATTAAGGTTTTGAGGCTGACGTTTGGCAACTCGAACCTTCAGCTCCCTCCACAGATTTTCTATGGGATTAAGGTCTGGAGGCTGGCTAGGCCACTCCAGGACCTTAATGTGCTTCTTCTTGAGCCACTCTTTTGTTACCCTGGCCGTTTGTTTTTGGTCATTGTCATGCTGGAATACCCATCCACGAGCCATTTTCAATGCCCTGGCTGAGGGAAGGAGATTCTCACCCAAGATTTGACGGTACATGGCCCCGTCCATCGTCCCTTTGATGCGATGAAGTTGTCCTGTCCCCTTAGCAGAAAAACACCCCCAAAGCATAATGTTTCCACCTCCATGTTTGACGGTGGGGATGGTGTTCTTGGGGTCATAGGCAGCATTCCTCCTCCTCCAAACACGGCGAGTTGAGTTGATGCCAAAGAGCTCCATTTTGGTCTCATCTGACCATAACACTTTCACCCAGTTGTCCTCTGAATCATTTAGATGTTCATTGGCAAACTTCAGACGGGCATGTATATGTGCTTTCTTGAGCAGGGGGACCTTGCAGGCGCTGCAGGATTTCAGCCCTTCACGGCGTAGTGTGTTACCAATTGTTTTCTTGGTGACTATGGTCACAGCTGCCTTGAGATCATTGATAAGATCCTCCCGTGTAGTTCTGGGCTGATTCCCCACCGTTCTCATGATCATTGCAACTCCACGAGGTGAGATCTTGCATGGAGCCCCAGGCCGAGGGAGATTGACAGTTCTTTTGTGTTTCTTCTATTTGCGAATAATCGCAACAACTGTTGTCACCCTCTCACCAAGCTGCTTGGCAATGGTCTTGTAGCCCATTACAGCCTTGTGTAGGTCTACAATCTTGTCCCTGACATCCTTGGAGAGCTCTTTGGTCTTGGCCATGGTGGAGAGTTTGGAATCTGATTTATTGATTGCTTCTGTGGACAGGTGTCTTCATACAGGTAACAAGCTGAGATTAGGAGCACTCCCTTCAAGAGTGTACTCCTAATCTCAGCTATAGTTACCTGTATAAAAGACACCTGGGAGCCAGAAATCTTTCTGATTGAGAGGGGGTCAAATACTTATTTCCCTCATTAAAATGCAAATCAATTTATAACATTTTTGACATGCGTTTTTCTGGATTTTGTTGTTGTTATTCTATCTCTCACTGTTCAAATAAACCTAACATTAAAATTATAGACTGATCATTTCTTTGTCAGTGGGCAAATGTACAAAATCAGCAGGGGATCAAATACTTTTTTCCCTCACTGTAGCTCCTGGCCAAGATTTCAACTGTTTCCATCACAACTGGCAGCCCCGTTCTTCTTTAGACTGAGCTACACAGCAATATATTGTAACATACATGCCCCGATATGTAGACTCAAATACACACACCCTAATATGTATACTCTGATACGTATACTTGTACTATATGTGTATTAATACACGCTATGACATATGGAAGGACACAGCGTTAAGTGTGGATCAACGCATCTTTCCCTGCTGTTACTCACGTGCCTGAATGTGATTGGACTCTTCGGCAATGACGTCGCAGGTTTAATTAATTGGACGAATTCTTTAATGAGAGAGAGAGCAGAGCGAGAGATGAGCCAATTATTCGGGCCGATTGTGCAAGGCTGCAATGCACTGCAGAGCAGTTCTACTCCTGCTGCTGGCAAGGATCTACATGCAATTGAATGTATGTGGTGTCCTATTGAAGGTACACATTTTAGGGCCCTTGTCCCGATATCCTACAGCTTTTGCACCCAACTTACGCGGTCGGTAACCCACCGGGATACTATAATTACATCTTTAAAAAAAACACATGTTCTGCACGATGTCCCGGTGCTTTATCTTACCCTAGACAAGTGTCGCTTGAGTCACAAGATTATTTTGTTTTCTCTCGCGTGGGTCCCATTGCATTGTGCATAATTTGGCCAAATTCTATCGACGATTAGTTTGGCAATCATTTATATATTTAGTAGAGCAGGTGAGGAGCCCGTGGGGAGAACTTTTCTATGATTTGTATATATTTGAAACAATGCTTATATGTTAACGCCAACGGGGTTAAATCAGTGAGACCCCCCCCCCCCCAGTGAAACCCCGTGGGGGGGGGGGTCACCCCCCAAGAAACTGAGCCAGAAAACCCAAGGGACCGAGAAAGAAACCAAATCAACCGAGACGGAATCCAAATAAACTGAGTCACAGAAACATTTGGAGTGGGTGGTGGGGGGCATGGCGTTAATAAATGAGTTTACGCTGCGGCAATCGGCTGATGTCCACCGCCGCGTAGTAAATTCAACGATAATACCTTGTATGGATGTTATTAGTTTGCGGCTAGTTTCTCAAATAAAGGCTGTGCCTAGAGCCAACGCTTTTGGAGGGAGCTGACCGTTGGCAAAATCGAGACGTGAACCAATCGCCAAGCTGACGGTGAGACTCTCCGGTACACAGGGGCCGGGTGTGGTCATCGCAGGTACAGGACATCGAACGTGAGAATCCATTGCACCGGCCCTCGGAGACCCCTCAACATTTGTGAAAAACCACGAGTGTGTGACGGGTAATCCTTGAGACTTTAACACGTGTGCCTTTTGTGTATCCGGGAAAGCCTCACTAAGTCTCAGTATTCCTTTTTTTCAGAAAGGGGCCCTGTTGCATTGGGAATGTTTGGCTAAATTGCATGAATGCAAGTTTAGCTTCGTGTGGGAGAAAACCGGAGAGGCCCGGAGAAAACCCACCACATATGGAGAAGGGTGACACTCAGCAATGCCATCTCCTGGCTACCGCTCAACTCAGCACCGCACTGATACATGCAAAAATTCCCCATTCGGATGTAACTCGCTGACGCGCCCCTACTGGACATCTGTGAAAAAGAGCTTCATAGCTCGTCGGATTCCTCTAGGACAAATAAAGATTTTGATACCTACTGTACAACAGCGGGCAAGCATTGCTGATCACCAATCCAAGCACTAGCCTGGCTCAACCATGCTAAGAATATTCCAACGTTTGACAAATCATTTGGTGCTGCTGCCACATTGGCAACGGTCGCACAAGCACAATTAACCAAAAAAAACAACTCTATACATTTGGCAATAACACTGGCCTTAAAACATATTTTTGTACAAATTTTAACAATATAATACTTTATGCAAGGTGATCTGGAGAGGGCCGTTGTCTGCAACATTGCCGATGGTTTTATTTTAATGTCACGGTGTTATGAAGGTAAAAGGTGTTGAGGTTTTTTTTGTCGTTAATTGTACTTGTGCACCCACTGTTGATGTCGCAGCAGCAGCGGCATCACTAAATCATTTGTGTAAAACGGAAATACTCGCCTGGATTGTGACCTCGACCGTTTTAGTTACCGACAAAGATCCCCCGTGTAGCCTTGACAGACTTTTAGGGCAAGTTCTGTTAGCGCCTACACAAAGATCCCCCATGTAGCCTTAGCAGACGGTAGGGGCAAGTGCAGTTAGCGAGTAGCACCTATGAAGGCCGGCACGGCACACGAGGGGGTGGGTGGCCAACACCACGCCCGGCCGCCTTTGTCTCCCTAATGCCGATGTTTACACACCGCACCAGGTACTCATTTGAGGCTGAGTCGACCTAGGGGAGGCCGGGGACTTGTTCAGATAATCGTCACTGGTGGTGTTGGCCCTGAGCGGGAATCGAACTCGGGTGGCCAGGTTCGTAGCGCAGCGCGCTAACAGCTACACTACCGTCTACACACGCACGCACGCGCAAGCAAAGCGAGATTACAAAGGCTGTGAATTAAAGACGCTGTAATCGCAACTCCGACTATTTACATGAATTATTACTCGTATGGGTTTCGCGCGCACAGTGGCAGCACTGTGTGTAGCGGGGAGGGAGAATTAGGAAAGAGAGCGGTCTAATTGATTGCTCGTCGGCAATGAACGTCACTCACACTGTAATGAAATGGTGATGAAGCAAAGCCAAGAGACTCAGACACATTAATACATTTCCATGATCATCATCCTCACCTTCATCAAATTCACTGTGGGCCATCATCCTCATTGCCACCATCATCATCAAATTAATTAAAGCATCATCATCGACGACGACGATGATGATACATCATCAGTGCAGGTCTCAATGCAAATACAATAAAATGGCTAAAATAAAATGAAATCTAGAACGCGTGTAACATCTAAAACATCCAACCATTTCTTCTCCAGAAGTATATCCAGAGGTTTTTCGTCCGCCTGCGGTAACGAGCAGAATTAAGAGGCGGTGGAAACCCCAAAGCGTCGACTTCGCATCCGTCGTTCTTCAATGCTGCCCGGGAGTTCACGGGGGATGTCCGTAGTCGGGTCAACCGGGCCAGGTCCCTTGCAAAACGTTGGGGGGCGGGGGGGGGGTGGTCACGGCGTTCGTGTTTTGTGTTCCCGCGACTCCGTTGGGAATGGAAGCGCAACGGGGGCTACAGTGAGCGCAGCTGAACGCACTCAGCCGTGGCACCGCTGGTGCGCTCCCGTTCCAACCTCGCTTTTGTGAGCAATGACGCAGCGACATTGAACACGGGAGGTTTTGGAGTGCGCGCGAGCGCGTGCGTGCGTGTGAGTGCGGAGCGGTGGCGCGGTGGTTAGCGCGCTGCTCTACGAACCCGGCGACCCGAGTTCGATTTGCCGCTCACGGCCAACACCGGTGATGATTACCTGAGCCGGTGCTGGGCTTCCCCTTGAGTCGACTCGGCCTCAAATGAGTACCTGGTGTAGCGGTGTGTGTAAACATCGCTACTGGGGAGACAAAGGCGGCCGGGCGTGTTCCTGGCCACACCACCCCATCGTGTGCTGTCGCGGCCTTAATAATTGCTCGCTAACAGCACTTGCCCCAACAGTCTGTTAAGGCTACACAGGGTGATTGTCTTTGGAGTGATTGTGCAGTGGTTTTTTTTCTCACTGTGCTAGATCCTGGAAAGCTGGGTACAATATCTGGCCACGCACAACCTCCGTGTACAGAGGAACTTAACCCCCCGCCACTGCACTGTAGCCGAGTCCAGTGAGCCTGGAGCTGCGAGCCACGGGCCCCGGGTTCACATCCAACCGCCTGTCGTTTTGATAACCCAGGTCGCCTTTTGCAGACGAGGCTATCCTGGTCTCTTGAGTTCTCACCTGGTTAAATAAACCATCCTGGGTCTCCTCTAGGTCAACTCAGTGTTAAATGAGCACCTGGCATAGTGTGTACATTAACAAACAAAAAATTAGCACGATGTTAGACAAAGGCAGCCGGGCACGGTGATGGCAACTCCACACGTTTAGTGCCATTCGGGCCCGAACAGGTGTCGGCTAACAGCACTTGTCCCTGCGGACTGTGAGGCTACACAGATATCTTTGTTGGTGTTTTCTGCGCTAACCACTATGCCACTGCTCCAAGCCATGTACACGTACTTAACTTCCTCGAATTGTTGCAATTTGTTGGCTGATTATATTTTGTCGTTTTATTAGATTTTTTTTCCTGCTGGAATTATTCGACTTAGAATTATCGTTCCCGTCTCCCATGAAGAAGGGATGTGTATGACAATACAGTATGAGTTAATGTTCTTATTTCCATCATCAAGCTATGATTTGCTTGTCTTGTTAGGTGAGCAGATTTGAGTTTAGTATTTGTTATAGGGTGTCTGTCATTCACGTGTTATCCAATGCCTCTCAACCCTATCCCTACCTCCATCATTACAATCACCACCACCACCACTGTTGGTATCAACACCCGTGCCACTATCATCACCACCATCTCCACCTCCCTCACCACCACAACCACCTCCTTTGCTATTGCACCACCACCATCTTCATAACCACCTCCATCACAACTCCACCACTAACACCGCCACCACCACCACAAACGCCACCACTTTCTCCACCACCTCCCTCACCACCACAACATCAAACATTACCACCATCACGATCGTCACCTCCACTTCCATCATCTACATCTCCATTACCACCACTTCCACTTCAACCATCACCTCCACCACCTTCCTCACCATCACCTCAACCATTATCTTCATGACCACTACCACCACAATCACCACCTCAATCATTACATTCATCGCTGCCACCTACGCCATCACGACCTCCACCACAATCATTATCACTACCACCACTGCCTTTATCACCGCCCCCATCACCACTATCACCTTCACTACCACCTCAATCATTACTTGTATCGCTGCTCCCACCACCACCTTCACCACTACTACCCCCACCACCACCACCTTCACCACTACTACCCCCACCACCACCACCACCTTCACCACTACTACCCCCACCACCACCATTACCTCCACCACTGCCACCTCCACCACCGCCTCCACCGTCACTATCACTACCGCCACTACCATCACCACCGCCGACGCCTCGACCACCACCACCACTCCCGCTGGAGCAGACGAGGGGCAGTTCTACATGAAGGTGCTCATCCCCAGCTACGCCGCCGGCTCCATCATCGGCAAGGGCGGACAGACGATCGTGCAGCTGCAGAAGGAGACTGGAGCCACCATCAAGCTCTCAAAGTCAAAGGACTTCTACCCGGGTGAGGCGCGCGACGGTGCTCAGGAGGATCTAGAAACCTCCTGGGGAAGGAAATAGGGCCCTACATCAAGAGACAAACAAAATATTTTCTCTGCTCAATGTCAATACAATATATAGTTTGTTGTCTCAAAGGATGGGGGGGGGGGGGGATTTCTCCCATTGTAACTGCACCCCGCACCCGACCCGGATCCACCACTCCCGTGGTGCGGGAGTCGAGGGGTCGGCGCAGTCATTGAAATTAAAATACGCCCCAAACTGAAATGGTCGAGAGCAGTTTGGTGCGGAGCGCATTAGCCAATCACACGCCTGTCCTGCCCCTACCCTGAACACTCACCAACGCGCAATAAAATGCTCTGTTAATTGTCACCAGCCGCGAGTACGAGCAATGATCCGAACCCTACATAACCAGCCAACCGGCCACTTGTACTTGTCGTACCCCTAACCATAACTAGATAAGCCGTCACATACTATCACCCTCGCTGTAACCATATAACCACCTAGCCACTCACTATTATTAGCCCTATCGCTAGCCAACTAGCCACAAGCCACTGTTACTACTGAGCCATTGTCACGTAAGGGTCAGCGGAAAGCCACTGTTGCTAGACAACCAGCCGCTGGTACGAGCCCTCACGCTGACCCTTCACCCTATACCTGCGACCCCTCCTCCGGCGCTTCCCAAAGGGGGTGGAGTCCTTTGCTCAGTGACTGTTTGTGGGCGCGAGGAAAAACGCCGCCGTTGGGTTTTCCAGCCAGCCCGCGGAATCCGTGCTGCTTCCCAGAGGAACCGGTCTGTCCGCAATGTCTCAGCGCCCCCGACGGCACACGCGCACAAAAAAAAAAACAAGCGATACCTCCGCATTCCATACGGCAGCGGGGTTAAATCACCCGCCGCGTGTCACATGAAAGTGGAAAAAATCCTCAAAGGAGTTTTTTTTGCCAGGTATTCTAATTTTGGGCCACAAGCCACTGCCTGGTTTTAGAGTCGGGCCAAATTCGCGTCTCCCACGAACGGCCGAGACGGAGCCCGGGCGACTTGCGGTTGAGTCTGAGTCACCGCTGGATTATCAGAGACGGCAGCAGGGTTGCCACCTGTCCCGGTTTTTGCCAGGAGGTAGCTGTTGTCTTGGGAAATCTGTCAAGTCTTCCCAGAACAACAAATAGCCCTGGTGTTGTGTCAGTTGCTCAATGATTTACCACTCAAGACAACGCTGCCTAAAACCAGTGTTCCTTCACTAATTTTATAGGCGGAAGTGGCCCATAAGACGACATCAGTGTTGAGGGCCGCCACACCATCTGCAAGGGGTGTTGTCATCATTTGTGTTTTGTTGGGGGCTGTATGTCAGGGACCACACTAGGGGCCACACTAAAGGCCACCAGGGTCCTTGCAATGAAGAACACTGGTCTAAACTAAACTATTTTTTTTTATTTTACCAAGGCCCATTTTTCAGAAGGGACCTGGCCACAAATGATAGCTCAACGAAGTGGCTTATCATCACGTGGAAATTTATTGCAGCCAAATACTCAGTCACATGCACGCACACTTATTCCCTGCAATGCGTGAGTATTTGCAGAATCCCGTTCTGTCTCTCCACATATATAAATAACAATAAGTTTGAGTCCATCAGCCTATTGCCTCGACACACCAGTATAATCACCCAACGTTCGTGAAAGCAAGCCAACTGCCGGCCGGTTTTGACCTTCTGCTTCTCATCAAGAAGAGTCAGCGTTGTTCAGCAAAATGTTGGCCGGTTAACCAGATGTTTATTGGCGAGAGCACTCCGTATGAAATATTGGACCTCGATCAATGCATAGAGGCAAAACCTCGTGCGGAGTTCTCCCCTCGTTTCGTTCTGGTGAGATATTCTCCTTTTCCCCACGACGGGTTCCGGTTATTTTGTAACCTTAGATGAGACGTCGGCCCTGTTTATATTTTTTTATTTTTGCCAATATCAGCAGAATATGAACGCTTAGCCAGTACTCGATAGCGGTGGGGGGGGGCTTAGTTTACATTTGAATGGAGAAGGATTGTCAAACACGAGGAGAGGCGCGTCCGTCCGCTCATTTATTGGGGCTATTAGCTAATTAAGGTTTAAGTGGGGTGGGGGGCAAAAGGTCATTGTGTTCTCGTGTCCTGTGGGGCGAGGCACCTTCAAAAATTTCCGTGCGCACAACAACGTTTGCTTACCGCCGGGCTCCTCAATAACCACGAAGCACGCACAAACAGAGTACAGGTTGCCCCTCGCTCGGCGCCTGTTCGGTTTTGTGCGGTTTTCGCGTCTCTCTGCGGCGAACCCATTTCTAACAAAATATTCCCTCTATCATGCGGGTTTAAATTCCCTTGCGTGCTGCGATGCGGTTGGACGTGGCGCTACATCGCGCGTGTGTACTCCGTGTGTACCGTCCGCGCTACTCGGCGGGCAACTGTCTCCTCATGCCGTTTTCGCTTCGTGCGCCCTTTATTGGGACGCATCCACTGCTACTCCCCGCATGAAGCGAAGGGAGAGCTGTATGCGCGCGAGCGTCAACTGGGCGCCGGTGTTTTGTTTTTTCGCCTGGAGCGGTGGCGGCGGCGGCGGTGGTGAGCTTGCAGTGTCGCATCGAATACAGCTAGCGAAGCCGAGTTCGATTCCCAGCCACCGAATTTGCCGGCGGTGAGTGAAACAACTCAGTCGGCACTGCCCCTTTACCCCCAAATCCCCAGCCCTTTCTCGTGGTGAAAGTATGGCCAAAGGGCCCTTCATGGCTGACAAGGCCTCGGGTGGAGGCCTTCATCCAGCAGTGGATGGACAAAAGGCTGTAAATGTTTTAATTTCATTGATTACAATAAAAAAAATATACATTTACACAGTATATAAATTATACTGTATGTTAAAATTAAAACTAACACATAACTGGGATGTCTCTTAGTGTGGCTAATATTAAAATAGATAAATTAGCAGAAATTATGCCTCCTGCTCATTTCTCCCTCCACATGAAAAATGTAAGTATGATTATTACTACACATTCCATTAGCTGTACGGCCTTGGCTGCTCATTTAGTGAATTACTTTTATTCTGGAGGAGGACGCTAATGATTTATTTTGTGTTAAACACTCAGGAATGGGAATGCGAATTGTTACGATTCATTTTGGGTTCTAAATAAATGCGCAATATTTACTGGCAAAACAATTCACTTGAATACAGTTGTACTTTCGGAACCCACGTGACTTTATTTTCGTAACGCGAGTCGTCTTTCTTCCGATGTAAATTGAATTGGAAATGTGTTGTCATCCTAACCACCGTCACCAACACCATCATCATCATAATCATCGTTACTTCTTACGCAACCATCGATGCACAGATGACGCCCGATTATCCGTGGGCAGGTTACGCGGGTTGCAGATTAACCGGGCCGGTGAAAAAATGAAGAAATATAGAAAAATTTGAATCTTTTATAGTTGATAATAGAGGAGGTTTTTGGGTTAGGTCGCGTTTATATAAATGTATCGTTAAACCCGCCACCACCACCCGACACAGCCAATTAGTAAGGTTTGTCAATTAAACAATACATGCCAATTCGTTCCTAGTTCAGCACACCGGTGTGTTGGAGAGTAAACCGACAAGATTTACAATTTATTGTTGATATTTTTTTTTATTGTAGATCTTCAACTGTTTGTGGTATCCCCGGCGGGGGGAAGGCCCATTGGGCGAACCTCGCTTTCATTCAAGGGCGACTCCCGGGTGGATGGGGGGGGGGGGCTTGTGGGAGTGGGTACAAGAATGGTACAAAAGAACCTTTCAATTATTTAACGAGGCAGCATTACGTCATGTAAACAATCAAAAGTATAAACACATTCCACAGCACAAAACCTTTCAAGTGAAAAAGATTAAGCCCGATGCATTATTATTAGAACACTATTCTTGCTTTTGGCATTATGTTCATGAGCTTAGTGCCAATGTCGAGGTCTGCTGGCCACGGCGAGAGGGCTTCTTGAGACAGGCTGTGTAGTTTTGCTCTTCCTCCTCTGTTGAAGGAGCTCAGACTACAGGGATTCACTATATGGGTCCATAGTTTTGGTTGTGTGGCCACAATCGCTCTCCTTTTGCCTTTAAAAAAAAAATTGTCCCATCTTCGTAGGAGATGTTGCGCATTGGTCCGTTGACAATTTATCATGGTAATTCAAAATGTACAAGCATCCGACACTACCCACCACGAAGCGTGGAAAAAAAACTAACGGTAAAAGGCAAATGCACAGCAGCCCTGTAATGTATTTTTCTTTAGAACTGCTTTTTTGTCTGTTTAGTTTATTGCCCTTTCCCCGGCACCTCCGATTAGCGCGGTTGGCTACGTACGGTGCGGAAGAAGAAGTTCAACATACATACGTACTTTTTTCACGCCACTGCTGGCGAATGTCCCCCCACTAGAGGCAGCTCGCTGGAGCCCCCTCCAATAAGGAGGGGGGGGAGGAGCATGTATACAAAGTGCTGCTATTCCACGCTCATTTGCACCTCTTCACGCGCGTGCTGATTCTATGATGAAGCTGCTCCTCGCTCGCGACCCCGGTGACCGATTACTTGAATGAAGATTCAAAAACAGACGGCGCATTCTTCGTCTTCACCACGGTCCCGCTATAAACACGCGCTGATGCAAGTTTTGCATAATCCGTGTTTTTGTTTTAAACCGGGCCACCCCCTTCACCCCCTTCACCCCCATCGCTCCGGATAATCGAGAGTCGACTGTGCAATCGATTGATGTCATGATCATTATCACGGGTGGCAGAGTGGCACAGGGGTAACGGTTGTGCCTCAGAAATAAGGACCCGAGTTTGATTTCCAACTCGGGTGCTTTTCTGCTTGGACCTTGAATGTTCTCCCCCCTTGTTCCGCATGGCTTTCCTCCGGGTTCTCCGCTTTCCTCCCATCACTGATATTGCACAAATCACTGTCGGCCAAAAACATCACAAAACAGGACGAACAGTCTTTGGACTCTAATCTGGCTTTCCTGGGTAAAATTTGGATTATT